TTCAAGCTCTCAAAATAGACTAATGTACAGAAATGGGCGAACAACCAGAAATTTCAGCTGGAGTGATCAGCCTCCTACGAACTCTAAGAAGAACAGGTCGCTTTTTATAGTTTCTTCTAGACAATTTGACACGAAGAGATTAGCCATAAAAGTGAAACCATTGTTGAAATCCAAGCCAAATCTGACTGCTGAGTACTGTAACCATGCATCTCGGAATTACAAACCTACTTCTCAACCTATGCGCCACAAAGGCAACACAAGAAGAAACCAAGAGTACTATTTTGTGAAAGTCATATTTTGTTCATTTATTGTGTTTTTTTTTTTCTTTTCTTTATCAGAATAATGAACAATGTCATTCATATTTGACAGGGGAAAACATTTAGATATGTACATACAGCACAGTTCATGATTTTGTTCTATGAAGAAACTTGACGTTTCAGTTCCGTATCATTATCATGTATGCAAGATACATTGATTAGCGCCACAAAATCTATGAGATCTAATATGAGATTATGAAATGCATCCACTCACTCGATGAATAGAAACAGTGTAAAATACTCTCATTTTCATTCACTGCCCTATTTTGCCTTTATATTTCCATAAGGCTCACAATCTATTTCTCCATTGTATTCTGTTCTGTGCAATCACCTCGACATCATGGATAGAATCAAGCCTAGCACCCTTGGTCACTTCCACCCACGTTTACCTTATCATGGATAGAATCAAGCCCAGCACTCTTGGTCACTCCCATCCACGTTTGCCTTATCATGGATAGAATCAAGCCCATCACTCTTGGTCACTGCTATCCACGTTTGCCTTATCATGGATAAAATCAAGCCTAGCACCCTTGGTCACTGCCATCCACGTTTGATAGAATCAAGCCCAGAACCCTTGGTCACTCCCATCCACGTTTGCCTTATCATGGATAGAATCAAGCCTAGCACCCTTGGTCACTGCCATCCACGTTTGATAGAATCAAGCTCAGAACCCTTGGTCACTCCCATCCACGTTTGCCTTATCATGGATAGAATCAAGCCCTGCACCCTTGGTCACTGCCATCCACGTTTGCCTTATCATGGACAGAATCAAAACCAGCACCCTTGGTCACTCCCATCCACGTTTGCCTTTAGCTTTTTTTTGGGACGTCATCGTTTTCTCTGACCACCTATTTCCCATTTCATTATCTGTTCAGGGATTCTTCGTTCGTCTGTTTTCAGGATGTACCCAACATTGCAACATCTTCTCTAACATATAACTATTGATACTAGCGGTTATCCGGACATTTCTCTGATTTATTTACTCCTCTGGAAATCATCCGCTTTTACAAATATTGTATAGTTCAAATATATTACAAAGCGTTCATTTATCCATTCCATCAGTTCTAGTTTATGTATTACACACGTAATACATACACAAAAGTGGACATACCTGTACACGTACATGGACATGCATGCATATAAACACACATGATAAGATCTATACATACGAATACGTGAATACTACATATATACATACTTATACACATAGAAATGTATTAATTTACATAAACACCTAGACATGTGAATACACTGACATAGTGTGTGGTCATGAATATACAAATAGGATTGTCACTTCTGTATTTGTAAGAATGTTAGAAAAATCGACATCACAGCACTAGGGACATTCCCATAGGCGCTCCGTCCCCATCTTCAGCAGCAAGCACAGATTTCCAATTCCATAGTCACCAGTAATTGATTGTATCTCCGTCTTGCCCTTCCTCTTGAGTGTTGAGCATTGGTCAGATGCCCTGGTGATCCTCCCAACATTCTCCTCAGATGGCGATGACCTATTTGCACGTTGACACTGTTCACTCGCTCCCAAAGAACCCTGACACTATCTAGCTTGTCAAGCATCAATTCACCACCAAATGGCGCATAACCAGTCAGTCTATCTGCATGTTCAATTTCCTAACACAAGGACTTTCACCTGGAGAAAATATCCATAAGATGATTATTCAGGACTATGAAGCGATGCTTGCCACTCTGCACAGAGCATACCTGACTCCACCTTTTTCCACATGCTCTGTGATTGATTTACTATTGCCGCGTGTGTATAGCTGGTTCTTAATCCAGCTGAAGGCTGCAAATATGTGACAACGAAGTCGGTGTAATTTGTCAAAGTGTACTGGTAATTACCTAAGTAATCCGGTCTCGGAAAAATAATAGTGTCTATGAGGCAGTTCCTGTCTATGATCACATTTTGAAAAAATATAGTATTTTCTCTTGTCCTGGTCAATGATTCCCTAAGAATCTTTATGTCCCACTCAAGTTCCAAAGCACACAATTATTTAAAAAAAAAAAAGTTTATTGCTTACCAAATACAACCAAGCATGTCGTGACACGGTTACTTATCATCTACTAAACGGCGATGCCTATCGATAAAAAGCAGTTATTGGCAAAAGTAGAAGATGAAATAGTCCACAACTTATATGTTGCCACTGGAAGTTTGTATCTTCTCAGGATTGTTCCCTTCAGATTGTTTTCTAATGTAGTAGTAGTAGTAGTAGTAGTAGTAGTAGTAGTAGTAGTAGTAGTAGTAGTAGTAGTAGTAGTAGTAGTAGTAGTAGTAGTAGTAGTAGTAGTAGTAGTAGTAGTAGTAGTAGTAGTAGTAGTAGTAGTAGTAGTAGTAGTAGTAGTAGTAGTAGTAGTAGTAGTAGTAGTAGTAATAGTAGTAGTACATTTTACATCACATTTATCACAAATGGTACAAAATGCCACCGTGTGGATGGGGATCACCTGTTGATAGCTCCCGCGTTTGGCCATTAGACCATGTTTATAGCCGGGCTATATTGCGGCCCCTGGCAAGAGCCAGAGTGGGGCTTCAAAATAACGAAAAATTGCATCCCACAAGGAGACAACTAGTTTTAGCTTTCTGATGATTGTGCCATAGGCTATTCATACTATCTATCATTTGATGTATGGAGTAGTGAACGTAAACAAAAATGAACATTCCTCGCTACAATATTCATCTGATACTAGCCTTACTTGTTTGTTGGTTTAAAGATCAAAGAATGCTTGCATCAGGCCAGAGTCAAGTTTGTGTATCAGCAGTCGATGGTTGAATAAACTTCAAACATCCATCAATTGGTGACTGCACAGAATAAAGGGGATTAAATGGTATGCTGGAATCACTAATGTTTGGGAGAGCATTAAATTCCAGTGGACCAAGAGGTGAAGAAGAGACGAGGTCACTGGAAGGATAGATGTTGAGACAAGTTTAAAACAGTAAAATAGGATGCCGAGAAAACATGAGAACAGTAAAACTATAATGGATTTTCACTGGAACCCGCAGGAATAAGGCAGCAAGAGAATGAAGTTAAAAAGATAGGGGTGATATGGGACAAGTTACACGCAATTCTAAGGATGGGACGACATGACGGGAGCTGGTTGAGAGTGTATGCTCTACTGGGGGATCCAGGGCAGAAGATGAAGAAGTTGATGGTTGCTGTATTTGCTGAAGTTGATGGTTGCTGTATTTGCTGAAGTTGATGGTTGCTGTAGTTGCTGAAGTTGATGGTTGCTGAAGTTGATGGTTGCTGTAGTTGCTGAAGTTGATGGTTGCTAAAGTTGATGGTTGCTGAAGTTGATGGTTGCTGTAGTTGATGGTTGCTGTAGTTGATGGTTGCTGAAGTTGATGGTTGCTGTAGTTGCTGAAGTTGATGGTTGCTGAAGTTGATGGTTGCTGTATTTGCTGAAGTTGATGGTTGCTGTAGTTGCTGAAGTTGATAGTTGCTGTAGTTGATGGTTGCTGAAGTTGATGGTTGCTGAAGTTGATGGTTGCTGTATTTGCTGAAGTTGATGGTTGCTGTAGTTGCTGAAGTTGATGGTTGCTGTAGTTGATGGTTGCTGAAGTTGATGGTTGCTGTAGTTGCTGAAATCGATGGTTGCTGTAGTTAAAGTCGATGGTTGCTGTAGCACTTACTTGCACAAATGTAAGCGCTGTGCAGGTTGGTTAGCAGTAATAGTAGCGATAGTTTGCGGGACGTGTTGGTCGGGCTGCTTTCTCCCAGAAGTTCATATTCAACATAGCTGATCTCATGGAGTGGGTTCCAGATCTCATCCCTTAACAAGCGTGTCGTTAACGGCGACTAATTAAGGGGTTTGCTATCGTAAGATATGTTCGGCTAAGAGCGTGCAGGTACCTCAGCCTTGCTGTGAACCACAACGCAGTGTGTCAACCGCGTTTTTTTAAAGGGATGAACGTAGAAAAAAAAGCATAGCTGAAATCTAGCTATTGTCTTCATCAGCTTGCTGAATGCATGCGCGATCCGTTTCTCCACATAGTTAAGTGTGTGGTTTTTCTAGGCAAATTTACGTCCAATAGTTTGCCATTGCTTACTGGACGGTCGGCTTTCTTGATACCACTGTCGAAACCAACGCAAGGCGCATGGCCCGCAGCCGGGATCGAACCCGGCATCCCGGCATTACGAAGCGTTCGCATCGATTTAGCCACAGAGCCGACTCTCGACATAGTACGAAGTCAAACAACATGTATATATTCTGGTATGACACCCTTCCATGCCACGGTGACAGGATGTCAAGAATCTTCTAGCTGCCTTCCTTCCACTCTCTCTTTCCTCACATCTAGAGTCTACAGTTGTTTAAATAAATGAAAACAGCCACTTGTCTGTGTTGTGTTCTGTTCAGTTTTCTACACAATATTTACAGTGCAGAAGAATCGCATATTTTTTGTACCTCTAAGAATCAGTTATACTGAAGTCAATTTGATCTGTTAGACTAGGTGTCGACAGTCTACAGTACATGCACCAAGTGTAGGACATGGAACGATCTTTGATGGCACGCTGATTAATTTGAAGCACACTAAATGATGTTAAAATATTCGAAAGAACCCTACAACCCCTCTTTCAAAAATACAAGTTTTTGTGGGCTCTGACTGGCATGCTGAATGACTGTGCAACACAAATTCGGTACAACAATGCTAAAATGTTTTCGACCCACAGG